TGGTAAATCATTTGGAAGGTGTGTTTCTCTGATAGCACACACACACACACACACATCTCCAGAATAATCATGAGAAGAAATTCACCAGATGCCGACGTGTGAGACATGCTACACAATACTGATTGATACCAGGCGTTTCTGATGAGACTGTAACGAGTATTCAAACAATATTTCAGAGAAACTTTCACACTCATGGAAAACCCAAAAAATCACCAGCCAATAACCTGGAAAGTCTGCCATTAATGAAGTCACTGAAAAAGAATGGTACATAAAGTAATAAAAATGAAGAAAGGAATTCTTAATAAGGCATATATTTTAATTACAAAGGTATCGGTATCAGTTCATTAATTATGAAAATGTTTCATAATAATTAAAGATGTTAGCAGAGAAAACTAGTTTTGAGATGTATACATAAGTCCATTACATAGTATCTTAGAAGTTTTAAGTTTATTTTTATATCAAAAGAATAGAATGACAAGGCAGTGAGCAAGTCAACAATAGTTCTAGAAAGTAAAACCTTGAAATCCCTGTTGAAAACCGAACCAAAGGGCAAATGATATGGTAGAGAGGAAGGAGAAGGGGGGAGATGGAAAAAGACAGTTCGGAGCTCAACTAACATCACTAGTATTTAACTTAGAAAGAGAGAGATAGAGGCTTGGAAATAATAACTTTGAAACAAGTACTCGAATGAATGAATTTTAGAAAATACCAAAATTGAGTTGTGTGTATTTACCACCATATAATATCTACCCACATGCATTTGTGTAAATATTACATATTTCTGTGGAGCTAACATAAAACATATATATATATATATACATATATATAAACACACACACTAAATCTAAGGGATTTGGGATACTGTTTATGCATAGTTAAAAAGTGTTGTTCTAAGATCCTCCAAAGATGCATATTACAAAAAAGAAATAGTTGCATGAGAACTGGGTGTAATAATTTACGTGGGATGTGGGTGGGTATGGAATCCATATTGAAGAAAAGCTTTAAAAAATGTGAATTGAAAGTCCTTGATGCTGATGGATTAAATGAGATATAATGATGTCTAAAGTCTATAGAAATCAGAGGAAAATGAATAAAAGGACCGGTAGGCATTTTCAGTTATGAAATTACTAGTGAACTTCACAAGAAGCAGAATCAAGGCTGTATGTAAGTTGTCAATGAGAGAGGTAGGAAAGGTCAATGGCCTCTATCCCTGCTGAAGAACTGAACCATTTCTTACAGAATGCTCTTAGTGTCTTGGCTCTACCACTGTGTGCTAAATGTCTCCATGTAGCCTTCTTACACTGTAGTCCACTCATATGTGAACTAGAGAGGATGACAATGTCTACTCGGGATATTGAAAAGCATTACATTTTCATAGGACACTGGACAAAGTTAGTACTTGATAATTTGTCATTATAATTTTTAAATATGGAAATAGAAGATTATAATTCCCCCCTATTGTTTTATTATTTCTCAGTTTATACACATGCTAAGGGTATTCTTACCTTCTATTTCTTTGATTTTAATTAGTTGGATATTTTTATTTTATTTTATCTTATTTTTGGTGATATTGATGTGTAAACTCCATCACTTGAACCATGACACAATTTTCTATCTTAATATTTAAAGCAAGGTAATTATATACTATTAGCCTGAAATCCATAAGAAAATGTATGAACTTTTGAGAAGTTTCGAAAGGCAGATTGTTATGAAATGACATGACACTAGGAATTATGAGCAATTTGTATTAAGGAATTAAGCAGTAGTTCATAATATAAATTGGACTTATTAACCTAAAATTATTTATTCATCTGTTTATGTGTGTATGGTGTATGGAACCACACAATAGTACAGCCCATTGTTGTAAAACAATCTGGTACCTTTTTTGCAGATTGTTTACTAGATTGTTACCTTTTTTGCATGAACAAATATCAAATATAAATTATTGTTTTGCTTTTGGTTTCCTCTTTTTGTGATTGTGTATATATGAGACACCATTCTATATGAGACACAATTTAATAATAAGGACATTTACTTATGAATCATTCTGTGTACTATGTCTATATTCAGAATATGATTATATTTTGAGATTAGGGGAAGTGTCATGGGATAGGCCCTAAATTACCGAGGGGTGTCCATTTGAGAAGAGAATATCAGGAAATATAGAAGGAAAATCATGTGAATACATGGAATAAGGCTGTTCATAAGCAAGCTGAAGAGAAACCAACCAGGTAGAAGAAGATATAGGTGGGAGAGGAAAATGATGGAAGAGGTGACTTCAATTCAGATGCATTTGTAAGAAGTGAATTTCTGTTTTTAAAGCCCTTTACACCACGTTATCATAGAACTAGCGAATTAAAGTAGTGAAGCTGAAAAAATATGCAATAAAGAAATGGAAAAATGATTATTAGTGTAAAGGAATGAAGACCTACAACTTTTATTTGCTTGATTAATAACTTTGTCATGTGGTCTCAAATGACACGCCCCTCACAAGTTTTCTTTATGTCACTATGGTTTCTATGTAATTATTACATGCAGTGATTAATACATTTCTTTGAAAATTGAAGAAACCAATAATGTATAATGAATAACCTTGCAAATAATAAATGGTACTGTATGTTAACTTTCTTTGGGAATACATTCTGTAGGCCACAGTGAATTGTATCATGTGGGCATACTGAGAAACTGCAACAGTTTAATATGACTTTAGAAACAATTATATATTTCCCCAAGCATTATTATACTGGCATTGATTACACTGCATGAACATTATAATGAAGTTTTTAGGGCAGACCTGAGCACTGGTGGCCAAGTATGTAATCCTAGCCACTCAAGAGGCTGTGATCTGAGGATAATGATTAGAAGCTACCCAAGGCAAGAAAGTCCAGGAGATTCTTATATCCAATTATTTTTGAGCTGTGACTCATGTGCTAGAGTACTAGCCTTGAGCAGATGTTCAGAAACACCACGTAGGCCAAGAATTCAAGCCATAAGGCCAACATGCATGCACATGCACGCGTCCACATGCACAAATGTTTAGTCAGTGTTGAATGGAAGAAAACATGGTCAACAGCTTCTTAATAGGGAGAAAAGGAAAATGTGCAATTGGGAGACACTAAAAAGAAAAGGAAACAGCTCCAAGTTGGTCCACTGCAACTGTATGAATCTACATCAGGTTGTTTATTATTTTTGGTCAGTCTTGGGGCCTGAACTCGGCCTGGGCGCTGTCCCTCAGCTCTTCAGCTCAAGGCCAACTCTCTATCACTTAAGTCACAGTGCCACTTCCAGTTTTCCAGTCTCATGGACTTTCCTGCCCGGGCTAGCTTTGAACTGTGATCCTCAGATCACAGCCTACTTAGTAGCTAGGATTACAGGCATGAGCCACAGGTGCCTGGCTTACATCAGATAATTTTAAAGGAAACATTTATACGTGAATGCAGAGGAAAGTGCTCTGCTTATTCATAACTGATTTTCTAATGTGTGAGTATCTATCTGTGCAATGTTGCAAATAATAAACATATCTATAGATAAGAGAAAGATATAGCCAGCTATTAATCACATCTTAATGTATTGGTCGATATCTTGTAGATTTAGTTTATGTTAGCCACATCTAATGAATGTACCCATAGTCACTGTATAAACAATTTTAAGAAACAATATTAATTTATAGTAATTTTGCATATGAGTTGTGTGCATTTCTACACAGTCCAATGTAATTGCATGCAATGATAATAAAGTTTATTATTATGTTTATAAATACTAATATTTATAAAAATGCATTTGATTTAAAAGTTTTTCAAGAGAGTGTTTGAGGTAAAATTTTGTAAAGTGCATAAAGATTTTTGTAGATTAGAGGACAGAGACATAATGCTAAACTCATTGTATGGCTAGATCTAACAGATGTAGGTGAATATGGTTCTTGATAAGTGCTTTGGAATCCCCATAAAGATTGGTCATTATTTATCCAGTAATACATAATGAATATGTATACATAGAATATAAATCTAGTATATGCTATTTTATATGTGTTTCCTTTTCCTTAACAGATCGCAAGAATCTTTAGTAGGTTTCTAACTTATATTCTACAACTTTGATTAATAGCACCCTTTACAAAATAGAAACTTTCCTAGATACATGAACTGAAATGTATCTATGACTGCACACTCAAATAAACCAATGACATTTTAAAAGTAATTTCCACACACAGGTAGAGAATTAAGCAAAACAGATATTTATTTTAATGTGGAATTTGAGCCCTGAGGCCTCTCTTTATAAAGAGGGATTTTTTTCTCCATTTGCTTTTGCAAAACTTTATTTTTTTGAAAAGGTAACATTTTAATCGACATCTTTAATATGAATGAATACTAAGATCAAGACTTATATATTGAATTGGATATTATCACATTTGTTTCCACTTTCTGAAAGGGTAGGAAAAGCAGATCTGTTCTGGCTTACAGTTTATAAAAGAAAAACCTTTGATTTATAAGAAGATGGAGTTCACAGAGTCTTTTTTTTCTCAGTAGGAATGAGCAGTTAGCAGGTTGCTATTGCTCATTCTTTCTTTTCCTCTTCATGTCTGAATCCTTCAATGCCATCACAGCAGAGCGTAGGGTACACCACTTTAAATGATAAGAGTTTCAATAGGCACTTTAGTGGAATTAAGAAAAATCGATCACTCTTCCACCGTGATGCCACAAAGCTGTCTTCATTCTAGGTTGTCATGTCAGTAAATTATATTTAATAGGCCTGAGCTTGTCTCAGTGTGTTTCTGAAATAACAAAACAAAACAGACTAAGAACATACCATAGGATTTATCTTGTGTTGGCAGAATAAGCCAAAACTGACAATACGATAAATATAACAACTTGCTAAAAACCAGATACTTGAAGGAATCTTGCCCTCTGTAAGCATGTGTGCGCGTGTGCGTGTGCGTGTGTGTGTGTGTGTGTGTGTGTGTGTGTGTGGTGATTTCTATTTGCTTCCTTTGTTAAAAGTTTATCCTCTCGGTTGTGTGTCAGCCTTCACCTCTTTCTTAAGTGACTTTATCAGGGTTATAACTCTCTTCTTCACCAAACATGTCTGCCAAGACCTTAAAGCGGGGTCCCCAGTCCGTCAGATAATCATAGTCCTGATCCGCCTCTGTGGTGACAGAGTCTATGGAGCTGAGGGATTCTGCGACAGACCCACTGCCTTCGTAGGCATATGTGGCCAAGGAATCATACGGGGGTGCTCCTGGGTCCATGTCGTTTTCCTGTAGCCTCTGATTGATGAAATCCCTTATGTCTGTGTTGTCTTCCACGGGTGGTCTCTGACGAGGTAAACAGAGAGAGTCTGGTTTTATATCCCTGCGAATTTTGTTCTCTTCAATCACTTTGGGATTTCTCAGAGCCCCAATGTCGAAAGCCTGCGTGTCTTCCTCCCCGCCGCCTTCATCATCGTAATGGATGACGTTGTCTCTTATGTCTTCCTTAGAGGTCATCAGGGTGTCCTTCTTCTTCTGCCTCCGCAGCGCGACGTACAGCACAACTATGGCTAAAAGGAGACAGAAAATTGCAAGGTGAAAAAGAAAGCAGACATATCATCTCTTCTTTCCACTTAAAACAAAATAGGTAAACAAAACTAAAATTGATCCGTGTTGGCTTACTTTCCTTAATGACTTCCTGCTATTTTCAAAGAAAATACATGATAATCAATGAGATCATGCATTTATCTTTCTCTTCGTTATTAGCTAACCACAATGAAACTTTGAAATGGTCACAAGAAACCACAGGAAAGTTGTTCATCGTATCAGGGGTAATCCCTTCGGTTTTAAATAGTTTAAATTTAAATAATGTGCAACAAAAATAAGAGGAAATATATGATAACTCTTAACAATATAAAGCAGTGAAACATTCCTATAAAATAATTATTGTACTCGGTAGCATGTAAATACCACTCATAACTAATTCCCTTATTGTAATTACTTGCACTGGCATTCTGTATTTTTACAGAAATAACCGAAATTTTATTTGAAACAATTTTATGAGAAATAGAGAGAGGAGAGAAGAAAATGAGACAAAAAGAAAAGAGTAATATAGAATATAAGAGCCTTAATTCTATTAATCATGTCAACTAAGATCCTTGATTATTTGATCTAGTGGCCTGCCATACTTAAATATGTTCTAAATGAAAAGACTGGCATTGAGGTAGACTTCATGAAGCAAGACAGTACTTAGAGATATTTTTCATAAGCTTCATTATTTTAATCTCTGTTGGTTGCAGATTGACTCAATGATGTCCATTTCTTCTAAGTGTGATTGGAGACAGATATTATGAACATTGGTCCAGCTTTCCTCCATTTCTCCAACAGTGGCAATAGACAAAAGGATAGAGTATTGGATTGACCACAGCATTCCAGAAAACCCCTATCATCAAATTAGAAAGTGATGAAAAATACAGGATAAAGAAAGTCCATCTATTCCTTCTTCCTCTATAATTAAAGTGGGAACAACCGGAGGAAAAGGTCATTGTATGTACTGAGTTTATCTATGTGGAATTAATAATATACTATATAAACTGGACCAGAAGTTCACTTTCCAAGTCAAACTGAGAGTCATTTGTCAGAATGTTTTCTACAAAGTATTGCCTACTTAAGGGCTGACTCCATGTGTGATCTCCTAGTACTTAGTTTTACAATCTTGTTTTCTATCATAGAGGTAGAAACTATCCTACTTGTCAAATATTTAATATTAAATAGAACATACATATAAGCAAACTCATTCCAACCTGCATGGTTTGTTTTCCATTCTTTTTTTAAAGTAATTGTTTTTAAATTGATGAATGCCAAAATATGTTATCTGTGTTTCTATGCATTTAGTAACAAAATTCTTAAGTTAAATGGAAAAGCTGGCCAGAATTTATGGAAATGTAGGCCTATACATACTCACACAAAGATATTACAGGACATATTTATTTTAATCCTATTCCTTTTCAGTACAATTGGTATGTTTCAGAGTACTAAAGTATTGATGTAAGGAGACAGAGAATAGTGGAAGAATTACTTGGAGTAACAATTCAAAAAGTGTGAAAGTAAAATTGACATTTCTTTGCTTGATACTTGTTTTTGGTTTTGCTTTTTCTTCCCTTATTTACCTAATTCTGAAGACAGTTTTTGATGATTATATTACACTGAACAATATTAGACAGTATTACATTAGACAGATATTAGAACGCAAAATGATTTGCCATGCCATTGTTATAACTAGAAATGTAAGAATGTCATTGCTGCAAAGGTCAAAAGCCTAAAACTCCATCAGAGATTGAAATCATCTTGATGATACTGGTTTTTTTTGGGGGGGGGGGTCCAATCATGGGGCCTGAACTCTGGGCCTAGGTGCTGTCCCTCAGCTCTTCAGCTCAAGGCTAACGCTCTAGCTCTACCACTTGAGCCACAGCACCACTTCCAGCTCTTTTCTTTTTGCTTATGTGGTGCTGAGGAATCGAACCCAGGGCCTCAGGCATGCAAGGCAAGCACTCTACCACTGAGCCACCTTCCCAGCCCCGATGATGATGATACTGTTTTTGAGACATTAAATACGAATAAAAATGTACTATGATACACATTGGTCATCTTCTAACAAGAACCAACAATTCAGTGAAGAAAAACATTTAGATAGTAAGTTGAGGAAGGAGGTAGAGGAAAGAGAGAAGAAGGAGAGAAAGAGACTAAGTATTCAAACCCACCTAAGAGTATAACAATGCATAGGAGGATTGCAATCAAAGCCCCAGTGCTAAGTCCTACAGGTAGAAAAATGGCTTCCACATTACAAGACAGGATGGTGCCATCAGAGTCACATCTACAAACTCGAATAGTCATAGTATTTGTACTGCTCTGTACAGGGTAGCTGCTGTCTTCTATTACAACAGGGAGGAAGTACAACTCTTGCTGCCTGCGGCTGTATCCATTTCTTCTGGCTTCAATCCCAGCTGTGTTATCTACAAAACATGATATTTATCATCCTATGGCAAGGATACATTTTGCCTCTTAAAGTGTAGGAAGCTTTGCTTGACTCAGTAGCATATATCTTTGCAATTATTTATCATTATAAAAGCTAATCACCAACTATTCTCACAGGAAGTACAATTCCCATGATGAAGAAGCCTGTGTTCTCTTAATTAACTAAGCCTTCTACTCTGGGATGCTGAATTGATCAAATCTCCTTAGCTAACTTCAGCTGAAAATATGGGACTCGGCAATTTTGTTTATGAAAAATAATATGACCTACATTTTCTCAAGCATCTTTGGATTTCTTTAAATCAACCTCATTCTCAGATCTCATCACATTTTTTCCATTTGTTCTACAAACAATTTTTTAAAACTTTGATTTTTCACTAATTGATAGTACAGGAATTAGAATTTTAATACTCATAGAATATAGAGATCTAGGAGACATAATACCTACAGTTATAGAACTACTATAGTAAACACAATTGAACAAAACACACTTAAAATTTAAAATTTAAAATGGACACTTTATTCAATTTATGGTATACTGACTTTATGTCAAGTTGAACATATAGTGTGGATACACAAACACTGTATTTTTCAATTTAGTATGATATTTCATGCAAATTAAATAAACTATTTGACAATTTGTTGTAAAATAGGCTTTTGGTTAGATAATTTTGCTCAACTGTAAGTGACCAAAAGTGTTTTGAAAATATTTAAGACATGCTTAGCTGAGTTTTTGTGTTCAATAAGTTATGGGACTTAAAAGCATTCTCAACTAGAGCTATTCTACAGTTTAATGAAGTAATTCTCAAGATATAATTCCACCATCAAATTGAGGAGCATTTATATTGCTAAACTAGTGTTCTGTATGCTTTTCTTGTTGCTGTGATGGTAGCTGATGCCACAGGATTATCAGCAGTTGTAATGCTGATAGTGATACTTAGGAAAGTGTAGGAGTGAAGTGAGAGAAGAAGAGATTGCTAAAATGATCTAAGTATAGGCACCATAAGAAGGACTTTGCCTGTATAATTGCAGTATAAATGCTGTAATGTTTTCATTATCTACTGTAATTCAAACCACTGTCTACCAGTCATTTAGGCATCATGAGTGGAAATGAAAGCCTGTACCATTCAAATTACAATCTCACAATTCTAACCAGTGTTTCTCTGTGTGTAACTCAAATACAGTAATTAATACACAATTACCTATCCACACCAACAGGGCATGAGCAGGTAGAGATAATGATATATTCAATTTCCTAGGGAGACTTTTATTTATTGAATCATTAAGAGATTGTCCAATTTTAATAAAGCTCTCAGATAGTCTATACAGATGAAACAACTAATTTTCTACTAGTCAAAAGATTTGGGATTTACTATAAAATAAATGCATATTTTGTAAGTAGAGTTCTTTCAGGAAAATACTGAGTTTTCTTTCTCTTTGTAAAATTGGACAAAGCTACATGATTAGAGGTTAATATATAAGAGGCAATACTTACTTCTGAAGTCACGGACCGTAAAGTTTGGTTTGATGGCAGCCTCCGGAGATAATCTAAATGAGAACTGCTGCCCCGCAGGTGAAAGATCTCGGTCTGCAGCACTGACTATCTGAATTATCTGAAAAGATGTTCAGAATAAATTCAAAGTCACTCATCAGTTTCGCAGGGGAGCTTTATGTACCGGGAGAATCACTATATTTAATGAAGCATGCAAGCAGACACAAATGACCCTTCTTAAATCAATAGCAGTGAACCAATTACTTACACATAATTTTTATAAATAATTATATAAACATGTACAGGTAATAATGGTCTGTACAATTATAGGACAGAGGTAAATTCTAAATCAATACCTGAGTAACTAAAAACTTACCAGCATTGAAAATTCTAACAAGCAAAATAAAATTGAAATGCACTTGCTTGCACTTTAAATTACATGAAATAAATGCTTTCTAGGCTAAATGTGAGTATTCTAACTAGAAACACAGTATCCAGTGACTCAAAAGCTCTTGCAATAGCAAAATTTAAAATTATTAACTTTTGTGAGAATGTTCATCTTCACAAATAAAAAAATGAAAAAAATAAGTGCAAGGTATATTATATTAATTGTCCAAATCAGTTAGAGCAAAACTATGATTTTATAATTATATGAAAAGGCATTATTATCATTATTTCACAATTCCTCCTTACTTGTGCTGATATATGATGTATATTGTTGACAATATCTGGTTACTTCAATAGGATAATATTAAAATCTATAAACCAAAATAACTTCTGAATATTCAACATTAAATTTTATAATGACTTCAGACATTAGATTAATGTCATGAAACATGGCATTTATCTAATACATTTGATCACTAATTAGTATCCAATCTCATAATCATAACCTACTTAAATGATAAATTATGGATATCTACACATAGACAGCTATATAGACATATGATTGATGCATAGATGTATTGAGCTATAAGTGATTCAAAGCCAGCCTGGGCAGGAAAGCCCTTGAAACTCTTCCTTCCAATAAACTACTCAACAAAAGCTGGAAGTGGCACTGTGGTGCAGAGTGGGAGTGTATTAGCTTTAGTAGAAAGAGGCTCAGGGACAGCTCCCAGGCCCTGAATTCATGCTCCAAGACAGGCAAACAAACAAGCAAACAAACAACAAGTTAGATCACGAAATGTGGCAATTTAGAATTTCCAAATAGAATTTTCCTTAAAATCAACAATAACAACAACAAAACTTCAGCTTTCCTTCACTTAAACCAAAGTCCTCTCAGTGTATTATTTCACTCTTGAAATTCTATGTATTTATTAAATAGCAACCAAATTTTATGGAAATGTATTGCTTCTTTTATGAACCAATATCACCTATTAAATTAAGTGTTTTTACTGTCAAAATCTAACAAGGATAGACTTTTAGAATATGGTAAAGTCTTTTACATCATACAGATATGAAAACTTTACTGCTTACTGACTCTTACCTGAAAGTGCTAGTTGGAAGTCACTACCCTAAAAAATCAACTCACATGTAAATCTCCACTGATCTAAGTAATGCCAGGTTTCTTTCTATGTTTCTTTTTCAAGCAGGTAGATGATAGATGGATAGATGATAGTTGATAGATAGATAGATAATAGATAGATAAAATAGATAAATGAAACATAAAACATAGATACACATAACAGACACATGATGGATCACATATATACATATTCAAGAACAATACAAAAATGATTAGTGGCTACAATGCATAGTCCTCAGGCCAGGAAGACAGTGATTGGAGTTAAATGCAGGAAGTGTCCATCCACCCCACAGCTTGAAACTCAAAATCCAAAGAACATGATTGGACCATGCTTTGTATATTGATGTTTCCTCCATAGATAGTTTATGGAAATATATTCTTCCAGAATATACCCGATTCCTCACTACTCTATGTATACAAATGCCAATTTCTGTCACATAATAGATGTAATTATTTTCGGAAATTTTGGAATATCACGTGCTGGTTTCAAGTCTACTACAGAAGCAAGCTGTAGGTTTATGGAGGCTAAAGAATTTGCTGTGCCTTTTATGAAAGCAGATGTGCAAAGAAGGAAAGCCATCAGGAAAAAAAACATTCTCCTTAATGAGTGTTAACGTTCTCAAGCTCACTAGAAATTTCACAGTAAATAGTACCAACAATATGAACTTTATTTAAAAATTTGATTAGAAACCACAAACTTTCCCACTACTGTATTAACTTCATACCCATTCATCCACCACAAATTCACATAAATTCGGTTCCTCTAAAAGTTTATTGCATGAAGATACCTGATAAAGATAAATAAGTGCATGTACATGAACTCATATTGGTACTTAGACATTAAAATATACACACAGGCTGGCTTAGTGTACATTTAATGCGCGATATCCACAAAATACCTGTCCTGGCTTGGCATTTTCACACACAGCTGTCTCATATGGCACAGATATTTCTGGTGGGAATTCGTTGACATCGAGGACATTAATGAGTATGTTGACTTTGCTGGTTAATAACGGATTGCCTATTGAGAACATTAAAAAGTAAATTGTTATAAAGTTAATATTTATGATTTCTTTAATTAATAATACTTTATGTTGCCTTGCCAACAGAACACAGACATGCTTAATGAAAAACTGCTGAGAATTCTAACAGCGAGGAGAACAGTGGATGGGTTTATCCCTCAGAAAATAAGCAGGCCCACTATCAGATCCAATCTTCATCTCACATTATTTTATCATAAATACATCCTTTTCCAAGCCCACTGTTGTAGCCTTCTTTCCTGTTCACAGAGCCTATCTTTAGCAGTAGTGATATATATTTTTTTCTTTTTTTATATTTTTATACATTTTTTATTGTAAAAATACCATAAAGAGGGGTTAAAATTACATGGGCAAGGTAATGAGTGCAATTCTTATCAAGCATTGTTTCTCCCTCCCATCCCTTCCCATCTCCCACCCCACTCACCACCACCCCCACCACCCCCACCACCCCCCGCGGAAAAGATGTATAGTTCATTTTCACCATAACATCTTGTAGATATCATTTGTGCAATGGGTCCATCTGTATCCCTATTTAAACAACTTGTTTTTTCCCTTCCCCTCCACAAATTATACCAACATCAAATAACAGTGAAAACAGAGGTTATACTGTGGGGAAAGGACATACAAAGCAACAAAGAAATCATCTTATACATATGTTAGACACAATATCAAGAAAGAAAAAACATTTGAGTCGTTAACCTGGGGTTCATTTCACCTAACATCAATCTATCTGATCTTTTCTGCTTGTCCCAGACATATACTAGTTATTGCAAATAATGGAATCCATGGGACCTATGTTTCTTTGGGCCTGGCTAACTTCACCTAATATAATTTTTTCCAAGTCTTTCCATTTCCTAACAAATGGGGCGATGTCATTCTTTTGATGGAGGCATAGAATTCCACTGTGTATATATACCACATTTTCTTGATCCATTCATCTACTGAGGGGCATCTGGATTGGTTCCATATCTTAGCTATGGTAAATAATGCTACAATAAACATAGTTGTGTTGGTAGCTTTAGTGTGGTCTTCTTTGTGATCATTTGGGTAAATGCCCAATAGTGGGATTGCTGGGTCATAGGGGAGCTCTATGTGGAGTCTTTTGAAGAATCTCCTACTGCCTTCCAAAGTGGTTGAACAAGTTTATACTCCCACCAACAATGCAGTAAGGGTCTCTGTTGTCCACATCCCCTCCAGCATCGGTTGTTATTAGAGTTCTTGATTATAGCCATTCTAACTGGGGTGAGGTGGTATCTAAATGTTGTTTTGATTTGCATTTCTTTTATGACTAGGGAGGTTGAGCATTTCTGCATGTGTCTATTTGCCATTTTTCTTTCCTCTTCAGAGAAGTTTCTCTTTAAGTCTTTAGCCCACTTATTTATCGAACAGTTGTTTCTTTGAAAATTTATGTATTTATTAGGCCAACAACATTTCTGTATCTAGAATATTCTTCATATTTAAGTTGTACCCTTGGAACAAAGTATCCCAGGACTTCCTCCTGAAAAGAATGATAGATAATGGGAAAATAAAAATCAACTAACATAAGTGAAAATGAAGAAGAAGAATTAAATATGGGTACTCATGCTCTTGCCCATGTAATTGTAACCCATCTATACAGTATTTTCACAAGAAAAACAAGAAAAACTGCGATATATCATATATTACTTGCTGATGATGTGAAAGAATAGATAAAATTTTATTAAAGAGCAGCTTTTTAGGATAGAAAACAACATCATTTGGACAAGGCGTTTCTGACTCACAGATTCTGGCACAGACTAATGAATTTGTATCTGCAACCCTTTTGTTTGTTGAAGAAAACTAAAGTCACGAACTCAAATAGATGATAGGTAACACATCTATTTAGAATATTTTACAAAATAATATCTTCCTTTTCAAGAGCTACTTGAACATGGTCTATAGCAAATTATTATTTGGATTATAACATAATTATATGAATGAAAATGAAGGCTCAGTCTTTAATATCTATTTTACATCCTAAGTGAGGACACAGGAAGTAGTTAGTGCTCATTTTTTATATATATATGTATATAATTATATACATATATACATATATATGTATATAATTATATACATATATATATATAATTTTTAAAAATTCTGTACAGAGGGGTTGCGGTTATATGAGTAAGGTAATGAGAGCATTTCTTATTGAGCATTGGCAACCCTCCTTTTTTTGTTCTCCTAGTATCCCTTTCCTGTCCCCCCAATTTGTAAATTTTGTTTTCAACATAGTATCTTGTACATTGTATAGTTAAAGTGGGTCAACCTGTATCCTTGTTTCACCAGTTTCTTATTTCTCAAATTTCTAATTTCCAAATTAGAAAAATGTGAACACAAGATTCAGGTCACAAGAATCGTTTTACTCTTATCCAGGAAGAGACTTTTATTTCATTAAAGTTGCGGATAGAATGTCTTCAAAGGCAGCAATATTTCTTCTTTAAATAGATCTTTTCTAATGGTTTTCTATTGTAATAGATGTAAAAAGGTTCAAAAAAATATTAGGGCTATTTTTATCTAGCAAATGTTTGCTTTTGATACTTTGGAGCTATTCATTTCATTCTCCTGAAATGAAAATTTAACATTTGTCCCCAGGACTAAATTTTAACAAACAAAAAATTAACATTGCAATGTCCTACTACTAGTAGGGTTTTTTTCTACAAGAAATATTTTTAGCATTCTAACTAAAACAAATCTCCATTTTGTGAAACTATCTCATAAAACTGTAAAATTATGCAATAATTTTTCTATTCATCAACTAAAATAACTTACTGGAAAGGGAATCGTATGGGACAAAGAGACAGAGTAAAGATGAGCTCTTATTTTTTCTGCAGTCTCAATTTCTTTAAAACATTTCTGTATTGAATTATTTACATTTATCCAATGTAGATCTTGACATTGCATATTTGTCATGCTCCATTGCATATTTTCAAGTTAGCAGTCTAATATATTTTCCTTATCACAGTTTATAATATTTTATGTCCATTATTGCATAAATACATCCAAATGAAGTTTTTTCTTTGCAAACCTTGTGTATAAAGCAATAAAATTGTTGTAAGGTTAACTAAAAAGAATATTAATATGAATTCAAATGTTACATTTGATTTATACTATTGATAAATATTTCATTGAAGGAAAATAATAAATTGAAGATACAGCATATTTTACTTAAGTTCAACATGTAATACACTTCAAATAACTTGTAAAGTGTTTTCAATGTATTTGTTATATACATAGCTAACTATGATAACTAGTGCTATCATTAGTTCATTATTAGGATGGGAATTCTTGCATGTTAAAAATTTCATACTTAATCAAATAGACCAGGTTTAAGACATTTTAAACTGAGCATTGGTTGCTCATGCCTGTAATCCTACCTACTCAAGAGGCTAAGATCTGAGGATCGTGGTTGGAAGCCAACCGAACAGTTAAGTATGTGAGATTCTTATCTCCAATAAACTAGCCTTGAGCAAAAGAAGCTCAGAGAAATTGCCAGTAATATAGTTCAAGCCTCAGGACTGGCTATATATATATATATATATATATATATATATATATAGAGAGAGAGAGAGAGAGAGAGAGAGAGAGAGAGAGAGAGACAGACAGACAGACAGACAGACAGACACAGACAGACAGACAGACAGACAGATAGACAGAGACAGACAGAGAGACAAAGAGACAGAGAGAGTATATAACATTTATTTGCTTTTACCTTAAATATGTGATGAGTAAATGAACTGTACAAATAGGTTTTAAACCCATTTCAGGTGAAAAGTTCATTATAAATTCATTATATAGCATTTATGCCTAAGAAAATGACATAGTAATTAAGAAAAACAGCAGACTGGCTTTAATGTTGTATGTGTGATTGGATGGAGTATTTAGAATAACCTGTCAAATGTGGTAGCAAATTGATAAACAGTTGAAAGTTTAAGATAAAACATGTACAAATACATTACAATTTTTGATTCTTTTATGTTTGTGTAGCATAGTATAATGAGAAAAATGGCATAATTTCTAAGTTAAGTTGATTATTATAGAGGTGTTAATAATGATTGTTTCTATGCATATGATTTATCATGAAATAGTTTGAAAAAACTCCTAATTGTTTCTTCTAAGTATTACTTATAAAACTTCTGCTGAAATACTGCAAATTCTAGTATAAAATTTATAAATATAGAATAATATTTATCTTTCTTAGGAAATGCAAAACAGTTTCTTGGAGAAAAATCAGAAAATTAGGAAAATGATAGATATCTATTAGATTTGAACCTATAAAACCAGATAACTTGTAAGATAAAAGAAAAGAAAGTATTTGGGCAATTGTAGAAACAAAATAATATCAATTTGGAATTTAAAGTAACAGTTATGCTTTTTCTTCATAAGTGCAATAAACTCTATGAATAAATAACATGTGTTCAAGACAATTGGTTCTACATTTTTGTTACCATTGTTTCTAAAGCCATTGTTTACTAGAGTAAACATGAGAAGAGTGCTCATTATAATGTTTGTTTTAGATTGTATTTCCAGAATTTTGAAATGACATGTAGTCTTGAATGAGGTCCACCAATCTGTTCATTAAAACTATTGTTTGAAGCTGGACATTAGTGGCTCACACCTGTAATCCTAGCTATTTAGGAGACTGAAATCTGAGGATCACAGTTCAAAGCCAGCCTGGGCAGGAAACTCCATGAGACTCTTTAATAAACCACTCAGAAAACCAGAAATGCTGCTGTGGTTCAAGTGGTAGAGTGCTAGCCTTGAGCTGAAGAGATGAGGGACAATGCCCAGACCCAGAGTTCAAGCCCCATAACCACGACCACGACCACCACCACCACCACCAACAACAAAAAAGGATGCATCATGCACAGTACAAGATGATTGCTAAGTGATAAGAGTATGTTTATGTCTTCAAGCAAAATTGCTGAAGTTTTCTCCTCTACACCACATTTAATACATTCAC